TATGTTTCTGCCTGTCTGTGGTGTGGTTTTTCGATGTATTTTTTAAACAGTGTGCACGGGACTTCTGTCTCACCTGAAACACACAGATTTTTCTGAATAAGAACACAGTCTGTAGTTCCCATATACCACTGTTACCACAGGCAATTCTCATTTGTCTGATGGCAAAGTATTTTTACCCATGACATACGGAGGTAAAGATTTCAAGTTGATACAAGTGATCAAGATTAAACCATTAATTCTTGAGTCTTTTTTTTTTTTAATTACTATAAGTAGATTTTAATAGCACTTGTGGTACTTTCCAGATTTAGGCGTTTCTGGAACGGCTTGCATTTCTCAGTGCTTGCTTTGCAGCTTCCCTGCAGCGCCAATAGGATGTGTGGGTGTATATTAGTCCCTTTGTTCCAAATTAATTTGCACACCTTGCAGCTCACAAAGTGTAATATAAAGCAACATCATTAAAGAGAGTCTCTGAGAACATGGTGAGATTTGGGATGATTGTGGTTGGACTGGCTTTGAGTGTGTTAATTTCCATCCCTCAATAATAAATAAAGGATGTACACTAATTAGAGCACTAAACCTTACAGAAAATCAGTGAATAAGAACTCTAATAGTTTTTCTTATAAGGTGAGGAAGAAAAAATTATGTGCTGTGTTTGCATAGAATGGAGACAGTTGAGTGCTATCAGTTTTGTTGATGCATCTTAATATGTAATTAAGCAAACCCCATTTATCTGTGGGGTTTTCTTAATCCCAGAATGGTGACAGATTATTGCTTTCAAAATGCTGGTTTATCTTAAAATGCATGACACTCAGTATGGGGCAGACAGTGTGCCAGGGTAAGCCAAGCAAACTTTTTCTTGTAAGTTGATGTGGGTTTTTCTTCTATGGCTTTCCCTTTATTTTCTGGTTACAGTGAACTCAGTAACACATAGCAAGTTAGCTAAAACCACTGAATTTGCTCTAGGGTAAATTATGCAAAGCCATGATGTTTTCCCTGGTTTTTGCTCAAAACTTTTAACAGGTGTGTGTTGCAGGCTGTGCTAAAGTTTGAAAAAAATTAGGGGATGTTTCAGCTAACTTCATGTGAGCCTGGGCTTCACATAAAACCGCAAACTGGTTGCGCTCTCTCTGATTGGGTTTTCTGACGGGGAAATTTAGATGCTATGCTACTTAGCACTGATAGAAATACCAAGGGCAAAACAAGTACTCTGAAACTTACATTTACAAGCATGTGTAAAGAATTAGCATCACCTGCAAAAATTATTCTCAATGATCACTTTTTTGGGTTTGTTTTTTTTTTTAAATAAATTTTAGGATCAAATATCAAGCTTGCTGACATTAAGCAATCTTTTGTTGATTCTCTGCTCTTACCAAGCACCAAAACCTTATTTTCTTTTTGGAATGAAGACTGCTTGTGTGAGAAGAGTTTTTTCACCCATAAGTCTGCTCTGGAAAAAAAAAAAAAAACAACCTTTTTTATTATACAAAACTCCATGTATTAAGAATCTTAAAGAGAAAAAATCAGAAACAGTTCATCAGTTAACTATGTAATTAACATCAGTTCAGTGTCACTTCAGACACGATAAACTATGTATGATGCCTCACTTTTTCCAGTCCAACTTTATGTAAAAACCTATGAAAATATATTCATGCTGTGAATGCAACAATATTTGAATAGCTTGCCTTTTCAGAGGAAAATATTTCAAATTCTCTGTTAAATTTGCAAATGACACTACTCAGGTCATCTGAGGTAACTTTCTAACCTCTTGGTCAACTGTCTGGTTCATGTATTTTAAGTGTACACAGTTAGTGTTCGTATTTCAGGGAACATTTTGCATGTTTGTATGCTTTTTTAGTATTTTCTGCCGCAGATCTTTATTAAAAAGTATATGTATATATTTATATATACACTATATATATAAAGTATATACCTGAGCAAACAAATTAATTCTATGTATTCACTTTGAGGGTTTGTTTAAATTTTCAGGTCCGTAGAGAGTACAGGAAATTCTTCAGAGCCAATGCTGGAAGAAAAATTTATGAGTTTACACTTCAGAGACTTGTATGTATATATCCGTACAAAGCACAAGTACTTTTTCTGTGTTTTAAATTTTTGTTTTTTAGCAACACTAACAGCTGTATTATGGTCTTTTGATAGCCTTTGTAAGGAAATGTCCAAGCTAAGCATATGGAAAATTGACAAATACTCTGATGTTGTAAAGAAAGGATAGCAATAGTGTTTTGAAGGTGTGGGAATGGTACTAACTAAGCGTTTTTCCACACTTGCATGATATCTAAATCTGCATTTTTCATTATACGTGGCTTTTTAAATCCATATTCAGGTTTATGAAAGATGAGAGTTGCAGTTTGGTAACTGTGCTTTTAATCACAGAGCATCTGCTTTTGCTTGCTTATTTCAGTAACTCTGGTATTTGAACATTAATAAAACATCTTGCTTCAATTTTATCACAGATGCAGAAGTACTTCCTGGATTTGAAGAACAAGATGCCTTCTTTATCACCAATAGATAAAAACTGGCCAGTGAGACCTTACCTTTTCTTGGATTCAACTCACAAGGAGCTAAAGAGGATTTTCCATTTGTGGAGGGTAGGACACATTCTGGTCCAGTCTGTACAGAATATCATCACATGATTTTTAGTAGCTTTGTGGTGTTCATGAAGAGCCTATTTTTAGGATGTATTTCTTCCTGTTCCAGTCAGGATTTTTATGTCTTTGAAAGAAGTGTGTCTTTTTGATCATGGTCTTTGGCCTGCAAGGTATATAACTATCCTGCCTACTCCTTTCTGGGGCTAGAGAGAGAAGACTGGTTCATGCCATCAGCTTTTAACTTAATAGTAAAGCAATATGCCAGTTGCTTGTTAATTGGCAGCTTATAATACTTGTGTCCATGGCCAGGACTGGGACTATCTTTTAGACAAACTTTGGAAGTATCGGATGGAATTTTCTACTTGTGAACTGTGGTTAGCTGAAATTTGTTTTGGATCTTTGGATGGAGAGGAAACAGGAAGAAGCTGTATAAGTGCTGATGAGACATTTTACTGATTTTGTGGGCTATGGTGTCTGTGAATTGTCAAGGAACAGTTTTTCTTTCTGCAAAATTCATCCTCTCAGCCATGTTGTATTCCTTCTGTCTGTTTACATAAAATTCCGCAGCCGTGGAACTCTATATGTTTCTGCAAACCTTTTTAGCACAGTCTTCCCATGACTGGTATCTGATAGATTAAGCTCTTGTTCAAATGCACCGTGCTTAAATGATATATTTTAGAGATTGCTTTTGGTGTGATTCAGAAGTATCTAGAATGGCTGAGGAGAAAAACACCTCTCTGTTTGTGCTACAGTGGCATGTAGGATGGAGCTGAGTCACTTCGGAAGTATACAAAGAATGCGCATCTTGAGCAATAAGCAAACATTAGTCTGTGGTGCTGCTGCTTCAAATCAGATTTGGAAGAATAATTTTTTGTTTTGTTTAATTTATCATGTTTTGCAGTGTAAAAAATATAGAGACCAGTTCACAGATCAGCAGAAGCTTATATATGAAGAAAAACTGGAAGCAAGTGAACTTTTCAAGGACAAGAAGGCTTTATATCCAGCCAGGTAATGACTTACTCTGCTGCTTTTAGTGTACAATAAATGCAGTAACCTTACACAGAGTTAGGAAACTAAGCAAGATTTTGCTTTTTATCTTAAGCAGGAAAGTGTTATTTTCTTTGGTTGACAATGTCCCTCCATCATTTTACTTTACAATCCTGGAAATTGACCTGTTTGCTTCTAACTTGGATGTTGTTGCAGCACACTAATCCTATGATACCGAGCACTTCTGTCCAGAAGCCATGATATTTTGTTGTTCTAACCCCCGTGACCTGTTCATATCGTAAAAGTTTGGAGAACTTGTAGAAGGGAGTAACTCTCACCCTTTCCCCTAGTTTTTTGGTTTCTCAGATTATTGAGTTCTTAAAAACTGATAAATTATTGTCATTGCTATCTGAAGAGCTGGTATTACTCAAGAAAGTGCAGTAGTATCTGATTTTACCTAAGGAATGCACTTGTTCTGCATGCAATAAAACTGACTATTAAAATAAAGATCTGATGTCCTTGAAAGAAGTTGATTTGAACTTTTTAAGTGAATATGAGGTTAGAAATTGTGTTTTTCTTGAAAGCAAAGGTCTCATCGACCCGAGGAGAGGGGTTTTTTTAGAAGCTATAGTTTGAGCTGAGCAGGAACAAGGCACTGTAAAGTGAGAAGCAAGGTTCAGTAAAGGGAGGAACAGGAATCTGCAAAAGTTGGTGAGAGCAGTTCCATGCATGGATGAGTTCTTGGATGTTTCTGTGTTTTATTGGTTTTGTTTAATTTTTTTATTGAGACATTTCTTGGATGTTTCTGTGTTTTATTGGTTTTGTTTCATTTTTTTTATTGAGACATTTCCTTTTTTCCTGTAATGGGCTCAGTATGTGTTTCTCTTTCTTCCCTTCAGTAGGTCACTTATTTAATGGCTGTATGTGTTAGCTTGTGGTTAGTTCCTTATTTGCTTTGGGATCTCTTTTTATGCTGCTCAGAAAAGAGAATGATGCTGCCTAGACTTTTCTTCTTTGCTTTGAGTCAGTATACATCTGATCAGTGTAGAGCTCCTTGGGAAAGAAATTTTATTTCTGTGCCTGGTTTGGTACTTTTTTCACCAAGACTGAACAATGAAAGATTATACAGCAAAATATATATCAGTGTTAACTTTTATCTAAGACGTTCTTAGGTGGTATATGTGGTAGAGGATAACTGTTGATTCATTTCAGTTTTAGCTTACAAGTCATTATAATTTGATTAGGGACAAAGTCCACAGGGAATTTACAGTTTTGGTGACTATGGTTTCATAATGCTAATTAGTAAAACCAAAAATCCCAAAGCTCCAACACGGTAGAAAGTTAGAATGCTTTCCTCACCCCACACTCCTTTAGAAACATTTCCATCTCTTTTTGTCTTGTATTACGAGCTGATTAGCTCCTGTTGATTTTTTTCTTCTTATTTTATTGGCATAAGGGTAGAGGAAATTACTGTATAAAGTTTCTGATTAGTTAGTATGATAACAATTCATAAGATGTGGCTAATTTTCTGTGTGTAATATAATTATTTAACAACAGAGAGGGACTTCTTGTGAGTACTAAAATACCAGTACGCTTCCTTTTCTGTCCCATCCCCCTGTGTGCTAGAGATGCAATTACAAAGGTATCGCTATTCCACATAATGTATTGGTTCCTCTTCGGCTCTAGTCTTGGCAAAGCTTTACATTTAGTACTTTGACTGTAATTTAATCAAAGTGATTAGTTAAAGGGACTTCCAAACAAAGCAAGCAGCACCTGTATTCACCAGTTCTTAACTGATAGTGAAGCTGTTACTGCATAACCCTGAGGTGGATAAAGATGGGGTGATTTGCAAGCTCAACAAGTCTTGACAAAGAGCTGGTACACACCTAACAAACAACAGCAGATGTTGAAGGCAAGTTCTTGTCTGTCACTCTGAAATACCGTGGAAGAGTGGAGTTGTCGGTCCTACTGAAGTTGTATTTCCTCTGTTTTCACAGGGACTGTTACTGGGTGATTTTAAATCAAAGTTGATTGCATACGCAAGGATGTACTTGTGTCTGACACCCATAGCATTTTGGCCCATTACTCTCTTCGTTGATAAATTTCTTTATTCACCATCACCATGGTGTTATTGTGTACAAGATTCTGTGTCTAATACACATACCGTTTCTTACCCTTCCTCCTTTCTTCTTTTCCCTGGGATAATGTGCTGGGAGATACATCCACACTACTCTGTAGCAGTTCCCAAGTTACTTTCAGCTGATGTAGTATGTCTGTGCGGCACAGCTTGACGCCAAGACCACCACACTGAGTGAACGGTGGTACTGACCTGAAGAGGCTCGGTGCACAGCTCGAGCAGCTGCAGTTTTCAGCTTCTCAGCAGGATTGAGGACAACTGCGCTGCATAAATGAACACCATGTTAAGAGCCCTGTTTGCGTTCAATTATGTATTGCTCCAATTATTGTTACATAATTGCAAATTATTTTGCGTTGCTGTTGTTTAAAACAGGTAACAGTTGTGGGCAGAGGTTTCTGGGTTGATCAGAGTATTATTTTGCTAAAAATGAGGCAGCAAATGACCTTCCCTGGCAGAGAGTGTATCAAAGTTTAAGGAAGCTTCTGGCAGTGAAGAGTCACTGAAAATGGTATTTGATGTGTCTCCTGCCTCCACGAAGCCTGAGGCAGAACGTGACCATTTCAGGAGATTTACTTCTTCCCTGTGATTCATATTTAACTCGTGTTCCCCTTGTCTTTTTGTTGGGCAGCGTTGGGCAGCCGTTCCAAGGGGCTTACTTGGAAATCAGCAAGAACCCCAAATACAAAAAGCTGAAAGATGCTGTGGATGAAAAGATCATTATTGCAGAAGTTGTGAATAAGATCAATAGAGCTAATGGGAAGGTAATAAAATGGCATTGCTTTGTCCAGAAGGGTAGATCATTTCTGTTATAAATAAACTGAGAGGGAGACTTTGTTTCTGTCATGTAATAGTCTGAGGATTTAAAAAAAAAAGCCATGTTTTACAGGCAAGACTGGAAATGTTGGATTTATGTAAACTGGTGATTTTAAGCACCCATTTTAAATTTACATAAAGATTACTAAAATCTTGTTTGGGTTTGTAGTTGTGACTTTTCCAAAGAAAAATGGCATCTCGTTAACTGGTAACAGGTTGTATTGATTCACAACTAAATGTAGTCTCTGCACCAAACTTAGATCTTCTATTTGCCAATTGAAGAAAATAAATATTTAGAGAATATTGTTCTTGTTCAAGTATTTAGAAAACTTAACCTTTCAAGGTTCGTATTGTCATTCAAGCTTCTGATTAGCACATTTTATTGTGTTTTTAAATTGTGAGTGGCATACTCTGCCAGCTTTGCATGTCTTCTGATGGATATCAAAAGCTTTTTGGAATGAAGAGGCAAGTTTCTTATATCATTTGAATAAAGCTGTTAAATATGCTGGGTACTTTTTTATTCTGCCAACACAGATCTTGTTTTGCATTTAAATTATACTTATTAAAACAGGAAGTATTATTCTCCCTTAGTAAATGTAATTGTTTTCACTATATCTGTCTAAATATTAGAAGTAGTAGATCTCAACTTCTCAGATGTAGATGTCATTTATACATTTGTAGGAGTGAAATTAGGTTGCCTGTTGTTGATGCCAAATTAATTTTCCAGTTTAGAAGAAACTAATTAAATGAAGACAAAATCTTTCCTGTACTTGCATAGGGTACGGCTCTCAAGATTTAAAAAAAAAAAAAAAGAGCTATGGTTCTACATGCTTAAGATAGCTACTTAATTACAACAGGATTTTACTCTTTAAAATTTTACAGGAGAAAAAGCTATATGTTCTCATTTCTCTTTCTTATTATTTTCTAGGGCGAATGTAAGAACACTCATTCATGCTTTAAAAATATTTGTCCTTTGAAAACATGAACATGTATCCTCCTAAAGAGTAATTCTGATAGATAAAGGGAGGAGAACATAGCATTGAAAATACCTACATGATTTGTGGTGTTCTGCAACACAGTTTTGGTGAATAACAGAAAATAGTGAGGCTTAGTCCTGAATTAGCTATCACTGAAAAGATACTTTGGTTTTCCTGGGGATTGACAGAGCATGAGAAATGAGGTTATCCTGATTTGCGTAGTTTCTGAGTTTTACAACTGTAAGCTAGTAATTAAAGGAACTGTTTGTATCTAAACATATGTGCCAAAATGAGCTAAGCTTCTCAATCTATAATTAGACACACAGATAAATTTGGCCTGTTTTTAACTGACCTGCAGCTTTTACTGAACATCAAATGTTTGTGTTTACTACTTATTAACTCTATGAACTGCCTGTAGTCTTATTAGGTGCTCTACAAAGACCAGTTCTCTCTTTGTGTAGATAATGGTTTGCGTTTCTTTATTTTCACAGGCTACATCCAGGATTTTCTTATTAACCAAAAATAATGTTCTTCTTGCGGATCAAAAATCTGGGAATATCAAGTCAGAGGTTCCACTGGGAGATGTTACCAAAGTGTCCATGAGCTCCCAAAATGATGGCTTCTTTGCAGTGCACCTCAAGGAGGTTGGTTACAACTTTATGGTCCAATAATATGACTTTTGTACTTGCAGTAGTATGAAAATTGTTTATTAATTATTTATTACTATTATCTTGTAGCATTTAATCGTGGTGGTTTAGAAGTTTCTTGAACTTTTCCATATCTGCAAAAACCTTGATTTAAAACTACTGCACCCAAATGAGAACAGCTACTACATTATGAATGAACATTTACTTGTGAAAATCAGACTTCATATTTCACCATAGCCTCTTCTGGATTGGAGTTTTCCGTTTGTAATATGGACCTTTATCTAGTTCGGATACCTTGTGGTAGCATTTTCCTTTTTAGCTGCTCATATAATTCTTCCTGACACACAGGAAGAATATTTCTCTCTTCTTTATGGGATGCCAAGAAATTCATGTTATGGCACAGCTAATTGGGATACTAAAGAACTTAGTTCAGTGCTATATTTGCTTCACTGCACTGTCAGAGTTGCTCTGCTAAAATCATTAAGCTGGCATTTGTACTCTAGCTTAAATGGATTAGAGGAACATCATATATGGTGCCTTTTCATGCTGACCACTTTCATCCTAATACTGGTGTTGGCAATTGGTTTCTGTTCCTTTCTGAAAATATTGTGAGTTTGCTGCGATGTGGCCAGAAGAGGGATATAGAGACATTCCGGTTTTGTAGGACAAATGAAGGTGACCCTTCTTTAGGGTCAGGAGGGGTTTTTAACTTTCTCCACAGGTTTGTTGTTTATTTGAGAGTGAACTGCATTTTGATCCTATACACTGCACTGCATCCCTATTTAATTTACAAGACTAAAGACTGTTGTTTCATTGCACTGGGAAGAGAAGACTCCTCATAAAACTTCCTGCTTGGCTGGCAGTTAATATTTTTCATATTCTAGGTTTTGGAGGTCCTAACTGCTTTCCTTTCTGTTTCAGGGTTCAGGAGCAGCTGGTAAAGGAGATTTCCTGCTCAGCAGCGATCACCTTATTGAAATGGCCACTAAACTTTACCGCACTACTCTCAGCCAAACCAAACAGAAGCTCAACATTGAGATATCTGATGAGTATGTTTCTTGTTTGCTTAGAAGTGCATTTCCTTCAATGCAACATGCTAAAAAGTCAAGTATCTAATGTTAGAAAAACAAAACACTGTTGTGTAACTAGAACTTTTCTCTTGACAGAGTACTTGTAAATAAGGATGCAATTTTCAGCGTGTACTGGTTTCTAGTATTCATTTTGGCTCTTACTTCCTTGAAAGTCATTAGAGAAAATGTGCTTTTCTTAAGGTAGTTTCAAATAGGGCTGTGAAGCTGAATTGCTGCCGTAGAAATAATTAAGAGATACTACATTTGAGAGAATCGGTTTCTGTGTGACTGAAAAGTTCACATACTCCTATGAGATGTTTATCAATTAGTGTGGACACCAGGTGCCAAGTTTCAGTGAAAACAATCAAAACTGAATGAAAAGCTCCTCCCCAGGCACGTGTAATGATGGTGCTAGTAATGTAGGTCCATAAAGCTCTACCTTCTTTTTTGTGAAGGTGAAAAATATATTACTAAAATTTCCACTGATGGTGTTTAAGCCTTCTATTGTTGTTTTGGGGTTTTTGGTTGTTAAAAAGCTTTGCTTGATAAAAAGCATGCATGTCAAATTAGTATTTCTCTCTGCTTGGTTCAGTTTCGTATTTTGGCCTTGCAGTGTTTATAGCCATGGAGTTAAAATGTTTGTGTGTGGTCTCTTAAAGCCTGCTGAGTGAGAGTCCCTCGCTTAGTCCACCATTGTTAGGCACCCAGTTTGTTGTGCAAAGTGCCCCCTGATTTCAGCAGTGTTGATGTGGTAGTTTTACTCGTTTTGAATAAAGATGATGGTTTTGGAACCCTGTAACAACAGTGAAATAAAATTTCTGTAGGCAAAAACTGAACCTTTTATCTGGCTGCACAGCACTGCTTATATTCTAGAGCAATGGCAAGTACCATTTGTGTCTGTTGAGATTTCAGGGTTTATTTAAAGGCTGATTTTGCTGTTTCCTTGAAAATGACATCTGCCATTTTCCTTTGTTCTGTTACCAGATGTGATTCAATTTGCTCCAAGGGTGTGCGTTTTTAGCCTCTAACAGAGTTTGGCTGTCCCCAGTAAGATTCTAGTTTAATGATGGCTACAAAGGAATAAACTACTAAAAGGAAGTTTAAGCATGCATTGCACTAGTCTGGACTGCCTGCCTTGGGTCTGGAAAACAGTCTGCTTTCTGGAAGTCTGGTATTTTGGGATGTGGTTTTGTTTCTTGTCTTGCAGATTAAAAACACTCAAGTGTGTATTGCTATTGAGTTTATCCAGAGTAAATAATTTTAAGTCATTTGCTTCTTTTTTAGCAGTTCCATCTCTATTGATGGTGAAGCAGTATTCTCTTCTCCCTACGAGAGTTTAGATACAAGCACAACTAGGAATTGCAAAAATGTGACCTTACTTTGACTACTGTATACTCTACTTTTGGGGAAGAGAGTTATATAAGTAAAAATGCTGTTGATCGGGGTATGTCTAGTAAGAGACATACCGTTTATATATATCTAATATTGGAACAATGGGTCCAGGAAAATGCAGCGTTGGTGAGGAGATGATGGCTATAAGACCTACTTGCATTTTCCAGACGATTGCATGGCTGGGAGCAC